TTACGGTAATTAGTTTCGTATAAAATATTGCCTTGCGAATAATTTGATTAACCAATGATATTTTTGCAATATCACGGGATGATCTACAAAAATCAGCCAATTACAATGAAAGCCCGCTATGCGATCGTAACACTACACCTAGAAAGATGATCATCAATTTACGTATCAACTATATCAACCAATATATTTACTTTTATTTTTAACTACACTTTCCTAGTTACATTGTTATAAATGAGTTGATATTTCTCTCACAAAAAAATTGGACTAACGATTATTAACAGCCCTAGCATCGCCCACAAAAAATATTAAAAAAATGCTGCTTACGTCATAATTAAAACTCAGATTCAATAACTGAGCTTTTTTTGTAATAACAAATTACTATTGCAATGAACAGATTATCGTTATTGTGCTTCAGAACTTTAACTATGACGTAAGCTGCATTTTTTTGTGGGCGATACTAGGGCTGCTAACGATTATTGCGTTAGTTCAAAAATAAACTGTACTAAAAGTTACTATTATAGCGAATTTTTATAAAAAATTTCCGAATAGTAATTTAGTATAACTTATGTTACACTACTTATGATTAGTTTGATGATCACCCTAGTGACTCATGGGTGATCATGGGTGACTCATAGATGACTCATGGGTGACTCATGGGTGACTCATAATTCCAATATGACTCGATGTTATTGACGAATCCAGGCATCAATGTTTCGAACAGAATTAAACTCGATCATATTTTTGAGTTTGAGCTTTTTCTACTGCAAAGATCCATATTATGTGTCGATTTGATCTTAATTGGTGTTTACGTTGATGATTTTGGTAATTGTGCTAGGAGGATTAATTGAGTAAAATCAAGTATAATCTAATTTAAGCTTGCTCAAAGTTATTATAAATGTGACAAACCAATTTTTATTATCGTTTATTGGTTTAGTTATATGCTTTCGATTATGTATTATATGTAAAATACCCGGTATTTTTATTATGTGTACAAATATAACGAGAAAGTATTATTATAGTTTTTAAACACAGACGGGTTAATACGTAACAATCCGGAGAGTTATTACAAACATTTAAAGATTATATTGATGTTTTTTACGATTTAAAAAAAAACCATGTTAACGGCTAAGAAAATTTTAACTTTACATTTAGTAAGATTAAAGTTTAAACCCTTATAGAGAGAATCTTTAAATATTATTGTCCTGTTAAGTTGCTTGCGAAACAGATAAAGAAGTAAATGGGGATCGAGATCGAGATCGGATAAACGAATTTGCCCGGTCTTTATTAACACCTCATTGTCATGTTCATTGTTGATCTCGTTATTTTCACATTGACTTTACCGTCAACATTGCTTTCGTTACTTCATTACTATTCTTTTAACAGATTTTAATTTTTTTTACGAATTTTGGATAAGTTGAATAAAAATCGTGAACTTTATAATAAATGGTTCGTTTTTATTTTCTTAGTACTAGTATGTTTAAAAGAAAAAAAATTTAAAATTCTTAATTTAATATCATTTTATGTAAATTTTTAATTACATACGAGCTAATAACGTATTTTATCATGTAAGAGGTCAGGGTATTATTACTACTTATACATCACCGATTAGCATTTAGGGACTGTGTTACATAAAATCTAACGTAGCCTAATAAGAAACGTTCTTAGCTAAACAGACTCAAGATTTTGCTGACAGTTTATATTCTATATTTCGCTGCATTCCTGGTATGTCAAATTACGTAATAATTATTTAAAATAAAATTTAAATATTAAGATTATATTCCAATTCGTTACTTTTATGACATCATTTATGACATATGTTTACTAATAGCTGTAGATCATTGCACAATTAATGACGCCCCAGCTCTCCCACAAAGAATTATGATTTTTGACCAATCAAATTTCAAGATCAAGTGTAATGTAAACAATCTACTTTTTTACTGAAAAAAAACAGAAATAACACAAAATTTTAATTAAGAAATCACCTTCCGCGGTCTAATTAAAAATGCTCCTCGTGAAATTTACTATTAGGTATGTGAAGTTATTTTATCCCTAATCCAAACTACTAGCGTTCCTATCCATTATCCATCGGATATCCAAATCTGTTTTACTATTAATATCCGGAGAATTATCTGATTACCCGTCGGATTATCCATACGGATAAACGGATGACGGATTTATCCGGATGGAACTCTACAAACTACAAAGAGTTTTTATTCTTTGTAAAAAATTTACAGGGTGAACGATTTTTTTTGTGGGACCGCTACCTAAAATGTAATGACTACGGTAATAAAGCTATATCTCCAATAGGTTATCCTAATCTAAGTTATACAGTGGTCGCAAAAAAGATCAGGAAATAATTGTTCAAGTCATACATTTTGTAAAATGAAAATGACCGATGATCAGTTTTAGATGATTTTGTCTTAAATGAATTTTATTAACGCTAGCATTCAAGTCTAAAATTATGAGGTATTGGCGCATCACCGCGTACAGTGTAATTATAATATTTCGTATGTGATTAATTCATTCGATGGTTTGAATAATGATAGGGGAGTATGTAAAAAACAAATAAAAGAAAAGAAAGGAGATAAGAGATGAACGAAAAAAACTAAACTAAATGTGAGATTTTTCACCCACACCGGACGGTCACAATTAAGGAATTACGAATAAAAGAAACTACTAGCATGTATTCTTGGTTAAATTGTACATTTAACCGAAAAAGTCTTAATACCTAAACCGTTAAATGTCTTTTTCGATGAAGAAGGGTTTTTAGATTGGTTGATATATTTTTCCCACAATGCACTGGTTACTGACTCCAGAATTCTGACATATAAATCTGCTTAACTAATTTTTATTGATTCAATATGAGTCATGTTTTTTTTTTTTAGCATAAGCGGAATTCTACCAATACATAAATCGGATGTTTAGAAATTACATAAATGGGGGTTTTTTTTGCCTTGAAAATCACCTTCCGACATCCGACATTTCCGATCGGGTTAATTCGGACAAAAATAAACTCGTGTACTGGTTCATGTTTATATGTTATATCGTCTTTTACCTTTATTGATTCAACAGAATTCGATGAACTATTGAATCAATAAAGTTAAAAGATGATTAATATATGAACATGAACCGGTACTAGTGTTTGTTTTTGTCGAATTAACCCGATCGGAAATGTCAGAAGGTGATTTTCAAGGAAAAGGCCCCAAATGATACGTCCTAACGTTAGGGATGGGCAAATCGAAGATTTTTTGAAAATACTGCGCAGGCTGCGCAGCCTGCACGGGCCTGCATTATGACTAATGCGGGCCAAAATTGCTAAATTTCGGCGGTTTCCGGCATATTCCAGTCTTCCGAAATATTCCGCCTGCGCAGCGGCTCATCCCTACCTAACGTTAATTGATTTGTGCGATCATGAATATTTTGGTGTTAACTTGATTTAGCTAAAAGCTTGTAGCATTTTATATGGGAGAAGTGATTTATATTGACGCCCGGCGAGTAATGTTTCGATTCAACAGAATGGATCGACCATAAAGAGATCATTAAAATCTGGCAACAGATAATTATTATCGCGCAGATGCATCTCTGTTATTTTTATTACATGGGTGCCGCCAAGTGAAAACCAGGACTTCTAAAAATAATTTTTTTTAGACAATGGAATACGGACTTTAAATAGTACTATTAATATGTGATCAGAAAACGTTATAATTTATTATTCTAGTCAGATCAGTTAAAAGCCCGCAATCTGTTATGTAAAGAAGTTTATTTTTAAAATTCCTTGTTTTTACTTAACGGCATCATATACATTTAAAAAAAGCTCAAATCAAAAATCGCTAATAAAAGGTTACCCAAGGTTGTTTTCCTAACCTAACAAAGGGACCTAGTAAAATTTGGATTAGTAAGTCGGATATATATTATGAATATTAATGCATATACATGCAGTACGTACAGTACATTATGCGTCATAGATTCGTTAATGCCGCGCTAAAAGATTGCATGAATCAGCAATAGATTATATAATCGGCAACGGGTTAAAAATAAAGCCGTATTGGTATAAATTTTCCCTAAATTTTTATCAAATTTTAAAATATTAAGAAATTTGATATAAAATAGGTGTGAATGGTAATTCTCATGAGAAAAAAAAAATATTATATTATATCCATTTCTTTTAACCACTTCTTTTGACATCTTGTTCTCTAAAATGTATTTCTACTTAGCTGCAATTATTGCATTTATTAGCTACGCTTTTTACAAGTGTTATATTTATCCCTTATATTTGTCTCCTTTACGTAAAATTCCTGGCCCACCTGTTGACAATATTATTCTTGGACACCATGCTTCTTTTTTAAATAAAGAACTAGGTGAAGCTTTTACTTACTTATTAAAACAATATGGTGGGATAGTTAAGTATCACGGCTTATTTAATGAACCAAACATATTAATTTCCGATCCAAAACTTGTCCAACAAGTACTTGTAAATCGTCCATATGAATATCCAAAGCTCTTTTTAATCCCAAGCATGGCAAAGGAATTTTTTGGTGGTGATGGTATTTTACTTGCAGAGGGAGATACTCATAAACGACAAAGAAAAATGATGAGTCCTTCATTTGCTTTTACAAATGTTAAGGTATCTTTCTACGATCATCAATAATGCGTATGATCTGTTAAAAATGATTTTTGTGTAATTGTATCTAATTATTAACTTTCAAATTTTAAGGAAATGGTTCCAACATTCGTTCAAGCTGGCCATAAATTAAAAAATATCTGGATGAAACAAATTGGTAACAAGAAAGAGGAAAGAATTACGATTACAGTATTAATTCCAAAGATAACCTTAGATGTTATTGGTCACGTTGGTAAGCATTATTCTGTATTAGTTCTACATGCTAAATTTTATCAATAATGTTTCCGATCTTAATCGTAATCACTTTATTTAATGTAAATAGGGTTTAATTACGAATTCAATTCTACAACTTCAGGCTCTGAATTAGCTCGAGCATACCAAACAATTGTTGACCAAAATTGTTCGCTTTTATACATGGCACTTGCTAGTTACTTACCATTTATAAGAAAATTACCAACTGATCATAATAACAAATATTTTGACTCTGTTAAAGTTATCAATAATGTTTCCGAAAAACTGATTGCCGAACAAAAAAATAGTCCAGTTCGAGGAAAAGATTTATTGTCATTGTTAATAAAGTCAAATGAAAACTTGCCAGTTGATGAACAATTAACACATAATGAATTAATTGGTCAGGTAAGAATTTATTTATTAAAATCTATAACTTAATAATTTTATTAATTTTTATTTGAAATATGTATAATAAATATGCTTAAAATATAAAATTTCAGGTTATGACATTACTCCTAGCTGGACATGAGACCACTAGTGGTGCACTATCTTGGGTACTATATTTTCTTGCAAAAAATCCTGATGTTCAGGAGCGTCTTCGTAAAGAAGTGCTTGACATATTACCCGATCGTAATCGTCATCCAACTATTGATGAGATTGAACATTTGAAATATTTAGAATGTGTCTTTAAGGAAACTTTGAGGATCATTCCACCTGGTATAGTCCAATATGTTATTATATTTTAAATTAGGAATGTTATGTGGTCCAGTATTAGAATTATGAACCATAGTTGGAACCTGAAATAATTGGTCTACTCAGTTTTAAGACTAATATGGACCGGTTTGAACTAATAAAGTTTTATGACTGTAGATCGTGATAGACTAAACCAAGACTAGATCAAAATTGACCGGATTGGATCAGGCCGTTAATATCCCTATTTGAATTATTTTATTTATTAACTTTATTTTATTCCACCTTTTTTATTTATTCATTAAAGTGCCTGCGATCCGTCGTTGTACTTCTAAAGATGAAATCATGAACGGTTACTTGATTCCAAAGGTATTTTCCTAAACACTCCATAATTCAATTTGTTTACAATAAAACAGTATATAACTTTAAAATTTTTCTTTTAGAATACCCCGTTGTGGATTCCTATCTACGCAATCCATCATGATCCTTTAATTTGGGGTGATGACGCTGACTATTTTAACCCATCTCGATGGCTTGATCCAGAAGTAAAATCAAGAGTAACAAGTAGTAATTTCTTACCTTTTAGCGCTGGTCCAAAAAATTGTTTAGGGATGAAGATGGCACAATTGGAATTTAAATCTATTTTATCGGTTCTTATTAGAAATTTTGAGTTTAAATTAGTTGAAGGCTTTACCTTTAAAAAGCTCCTTACTGGTATATCTAAACCTGTTCCTGGACTTGATTTATGGGTTTCAAAACTGGATTATTAATTCTTTTTTTAAAAATAATATCGTTTAATTTTATTGATTTAAAATCATATCAAATCTATTAAGAATTTTAACTTTTATCAATTTAATAAAATTTTTAAAGTATTTTAAATATATATCTATAATCATTAAAGTGAGCAATAAATAACTATTTGAAAATATAATTTATATAAAATTTAATCTTTTAATAATATACTGATCTCGATAATACAATTTCGTGCATTAAAAGTCATAATTATTTACTATTATCTGGCCATTATAAAATTTTTAATGAACCATATTTTAATAAGTAATTCCGAGTATCTTGCACATAGCAATAGCATTGTGTTGATCTTTCTTAGGTGCCATTTTTAAGTACTTGGAACTAGTGATTGGACCCATTTATCTGACAATCCGGGAACCGATATTTTACTGTAGTCACGGAGCAAAATTATATGTATCCGGTTTATCCGGTTATATATTCCAGAAAGGATATCCCGGAAAGGTGTTCTAAAAAGATATAAACTAATATCCAGAAGTATAGCAAGTTTTTATTCTAATTTTCATAAGTCTTATAGTTCAGAGTCTTTGCTATCTTCAAAATAATATTCTGGTTTCAGAATATTTATTATCTTTATTTATGTTATCGCTGTTTTCAAACTTCTGTGTCCTACACGATTAGCACCTAACTATGGAATCGATTGCAGATTATAAATTTTGGAAATGCAGGGGTATAAAAATCGATTCTGCAATCAATTCCATTGTTAGTTATTAATCATGTAGGGACACAGGATTTTGAAAACAGCGATAATATTTAAGTTGCAAATCTAAATTACCTATTACATAATATGGCCCAGGTAGTCATTGCACTAGGGTTGTAAATTGATTTTATAATATATAATTGGTTTAATCGTTAATTTAATTAGAATCGATTGTTAAATTAATTCTAAAATTAGAACCGATTTTAAAGCCAATAATCTATTATTTATATTTAAAGTTAAATTTCTCTTCACCTCTAGATAAATGGCAATATATTTGTTATTAAAAATCAAATTTCCTGTTGATTGTAAATGTTATATATTTTATAAAGTGACACTGCAACAATTAAGGCTTGATTTAAAATTCAATCATCAATTTCAAGTTTTAGAATCTACATTTCGCAGCTATCCGATCTTAGTTTACTTGACTTTAATAAAAAATCACTTCCACATTATAGTATTCAAGTTTTGAATTGGTTTATTTTAGTAAAATTTTAATTCTATATTGACCCTTACTTTGTATAACCGTGGCTGACCCAATATAATATGATCAATAATTGTACCCAAATTATCTGATCAATGCATATAACAAAACATGCATAATCATCCCAAACAACCCAACAATCAAACAGTATAATTGGTTTGTAAAGAAAAAAAAAGTTAGTAAGATAGATAATATCTAAAAATAGACAAATAAAAGAGAAACTTATCTATTGCAACCTGAAAACAATCAATGATAGGAAAGTGGTAAGAAGAGAAATAGCCAGTAATCTAAAAATAGAATACCATATTTTCATGCAATAGTGCATATGTGCATTTTGAAATTCTCTGCACCCCAAGAGTTTGCACAATAAATATAAGTATGGTGTACATAACTATTAAATTATTGATAATATTGATTTGAAAGATTATATATGTGCATTCCAAAATAATGCACAGGTACTCAAAATAACACACAAGTATGCATTATTATACAAAAATATAGTAGGTGATTAAAATATATATATAAATAAAAACTTGTAATAAAAGTATTACTAAAATTTATCTTTTACTGTTTTGTCAATATATTTTATTACAATTATATAATTCTTTATTATAGCAATATTGTTAACTAATTATTATTTGATTACTTTTTTTTACAATTGTAAAATATATTTTTAAAAAAAATTTCAAAAGTATTTTCAAGATAATTCTCAATTTGAATCTAGTTTAAAAAAAAATTATAATCCAAAAGTGATAATGGAAATAATTTAATTATTTCTCAACTTGTCAATAAAAACTATATAATAAAAAAAGTTTTATTTGTAAGCATTTTGAAGAAATTAGTGAAAATGATATATGCCAAGTTATTAAAAAAATAGAAGAGAGCAGAAGTATAGTACATCATATTTTTATAACAAATCAACATCAAACATAATTACCTATTTATAAACACATAATATTATAGATAAAAAATCAAAATCTGAAATTTAACAAATATATTAAACTAAATAGTCTGAAATGATAAATATTAATACTCTATATAAGAGTATTAAGCAATTAAAAATTAAAAAGCAGTTATAAAATAGATTATTCTTAATAATCAACTATTAGCTATACTACAAAAAAAGAGATTTTATTGAATAATAGCAAAATTGATCTAAAATTCTATTCTTTTTCTAATCAGCTAATCAAAAATCAAATTATATTAAATTATTTATAAAATATTAAATTTTTTTGATATAAAATTATATTTGTAAAACTACAATAATAAATTCTAATCTATAAACTTTATATAATAATAAAAGATAAATTAAAACAATTTGTTATTAGATAAACTCTGATTGAATACTATATAATATAATATTGTATTGTGAAAAACTAGTATATTTATATATTAAAAAGCTATTAACTCATTTTTTAAATAAATATATTGAATTTAATCTTCAAAAAAGATTATATATACTATTACTAATAATAGTATTAATATAATAAAAATATTTTAATTATAGAATTTTATTAAATAGATCCTATATGCAGTATATATTACAATTAATAGTTAATTCTGTATTAAAAAGTTTAACTTTATATAAAAAATTCAAAAACTAGTTAAATTTTTTGATTTTCTTAAACAAATAAAAAGAACAAAAAAGTACAGAAACAGATTATCTATATCTAAACAATTTATTATCAATAACTATAGTAAAGCTAATAAATTTAGAAGATTTAAAAGAGCAATTAAATATAAATACCAATCTTTAGGTTCTTTGATTAGTTAAAAACTATTCAATAAAATGAAATTTGAAATATTTATTTTAAAAAATTAAAAGACTCAATTTTATAGTTGAAAACTAATTTAATTTTTTTTTAATATTAATAGTGAGACCATTCTCTGATTTTATTAAAATTTAATTAAACTTTTTTATAAAAAAAAGAATTATATTTAACTTCATATCTTAAAATAGTAAGAAAAGAGCTCAAACTAGTTTATCTGTAGTCTAAACCAACTAGAGTGATTATAGCTTATCTAGATTTGTGAATTAGTAATTATATAAGTTAATTGGTAATTCACTAGTCAACCAGTGAGAGGTCATAGTATAATATGACACAGTTTATATATAGAAATTAGAGTTTTGCAAATGTGGGCTATATTATTTTAAAACTTTTTTTTGTACTAAGTTAACTATCTTTAGGCTTCTAATTGAAGTTGTAGAGCTCATTAAAACAAATCTAATAGTAGTTGAATCATCAAAATTGGCTTTGTAGATCTT